CCCATCTGCGCCAGCCTCGCTTCCAAATGGTCACAGCAGACGCTCGCTTACGAAAGGTCCCCAAGTGCCCATAGACAGGTCCCCAAGTGCCCATAGACGTGTGTGATCAAGGCCCTGCGGGTGGTTCCTGGGGTCTGAGAGAGGTAGTCGGCCCACCGTGACCCACCCACTTCACCCTGCAGAGTGACACCTGAGAAATGACAGGTGTACCACACTCATCATGTGGCTTATGTTAATAAAACACAATACACAACCAAGTGTCAGTGCGAAACTGTTCGTCTTGAGTACTGCCCAGCACACATGAGATGGGCTGAAGTGGACGGACAAGTATGTCCCACAGATCCTCAAATGACGAATGTCCTTTCCTTCCCAGGCTCCATCACATCCAACACCCAGGACACTGTGGCTTGCTCTTGCCTTGCCTGTGGCATGGCATCCCCCAGGCCGAAAGCAAGCCCAGTGCCCTGGAGTGGAGAATGACTCTTAGGGACCTACCCAGGGTTTCTGTGGCTACACATCTTTACTGGAGAACACAGCCTCATCCTTCTCCAGAGAAGTAGCCGGTGGGTTCAAAGTATTGACTCTGTGGTCAGCAGGCCAACCCCTGACCCACTGCACCCCTGTGACTTCCCAGCAAGTCCTGAAGGAAATGACAGGCAGTGTCTTTCCCCCATCCAGGTCGGTCTTCCCAGTAGAACACCTCAGGGCAACCCCATGGGCTTCCAAGTAGACCTGTGTGTGTTCCACAGAATTCCCAGTGGCTGACTTTTCGGAAGAGATGGCCAGGCCTTTCGTCTGTGGGACCTGTAGGTAGACTTGAACTTCCAAACTTTCCGTTAATAGGCACGTCCATTGGCTGTAGCACACGGGGGCCCCTCCCTGTCTCTAGGGATTCCACACACGGTGTCACACGCATCTTCCTAACAGGTGAAACTGCCAAGCCAAGACCCAGCCTCACTGAGCTGACCCCCACTCAGAGTGACTCGAGGGGACACAGTGGAATGGGAACGGTGGGTTCCTGAGACTATATATATCTTTACGGGAGCAGAGAGCCTCAGCTTTCTTCCCAGGCATGGCTGGAGGTCTCGAACTGCGGACCTCTCAGTAAAGAGCCCAAGTGGTAAGCCACTATGCCACCAGCAGGACTTTATGCTGAGCTCACGGCGAGGTCAAACCCCAGCAGTCACCACACTTGCTCTGCACCTACTCCTGCCCCGGCTGACTCAGCACACAGACATGACAAGGACCGAGGCTGGCCTGGAGGGGCTCCGGGTCAGATGGGGAGGGCCCACCAGGAATGGTTAACCTCAACACGAAACAGAGGAGTGCTTCAACAGAATGATCAGAGGGCAGTGGGGCAGCTGGCTCGGAAGGTGGACGCTGTTGCTGGTGGGTGCAGCGGAATCGATTTCCGGAGTAGACCAGCCTAGGTACACCTGTTCCGGGGCTTTTCAAGGCTGCAGTCTTGACGAGAGCTGACTGCCAGGCCCTTTCTCCCTTCCGGTTGAGCGGACAAGCTTTTGACTGGTGTCATTTGGGCTCCTTGATGCTAACAGTGGAGACTTGGAGGAGAGAAAGCTCTTGCACTAGCCTTTGAAAGGGGCTGGGACTTTGAAAGGCAGCAGGGAGATTCCTCAGTTCAAAACACCTCCGTGACCAGTGCTCACCCCTCCCTCCAGCCCACACTTCTTCCTGCAGGCCTGCCCGGGTATCCTCCTGGACCTCAGGGCCGTATCCTGGGCCTAGACTCCTCCGGGCCCATGCACTCGGGTCCAGCCAACCTATCCTCTGCCATGCAGGCCAAAGGCTGGCTACTCCGCACTGGTCCTGACCTTCAGAGTCAGCTGCGCTTCCGTATCACTTGGGCCCTGACCTGGTGCAGTAGCACCCCCTTGGTTGACATGAAGTGTGTTAAGTGTGGCAAGGCTAAAATTAGGTGTGTTTCCATAGATATCTAGACTCCTCTGTAGCAAGGCTGTTAGCTCCAGAATTTTAAAAAATCCACCCCTAATTGAAACTGCAAAGCAAGCAGGGCCCGGAAACTCTAAGACTACACCTGTTTGGACCTGAGAGCTCTAAGGAACTGGCAGCAGGGAGAAGGGGCCATGGGCTTGGGGCAGGTGCGACCCCCGTGTGCACATAGCAGGGCCCACCTCATCTAGGGACGGCAAGTCACTCAGCCTCGCTAACACTTCATTCCGTTAGTACGAGCAGCTAGGGAAACTGAAGTTCACATGTGGCAGTCAGAGAACCGCCCGAGGCCACCGGCCAAAACCAAACCCACTGCCACCGACTCACCTTCCACTCATAGCAACCCTCCAGGACAGAGCAGAGCTGCTCCTGGGGTCTCTGTGACTGCACATCTTTAGGGGAGCAGACAGCCTCATCTTTCTCCCCAAGAGGGCCTGGTGGGTTTGAACCACTGATCTTGCAGTCAGCAGCCCATGGCTTAACCCATGTAAGGAACGCAGGGGACGCCTGAACTGCATCTTCAAGAAAAAACCGCATAAACTTCAGGGTACAAACATGGCAAGTTTCTGATTTTCGTGCCCAATCCACCTATCTAATCCATTCTCTCCCACCCCAACACACGTCTCCTTCCTCCCCTGCTTTCCTCCATCCACAGGACCTCTCCCTGAACTAGCCCGCCATGTCTCACATGGCGTCAGCACATGGGGACCTACAGAACATTGAGCGACACTGCTGTCCAGCCTGCGAGGCCGGCATGAAAGGAACAGGATCATTGGTCATTTTCGGAGAAAAATTCCCGTTAGGGTCAGCACCTCCAGCGATAGCAGTTGAGAGAGGGCTGCTGTTGCTGGCATTAATTCATCTGAAGTGGCCCAGCACCAAGAGGTCCTGTCTATTTCAAAGTTGACAAAGGAGGAGTAAACTGTCCTGGGAGCAGGGCTGTCATATGGACGGTGGGTGGGAATGATCGCAAACAGAGAGGTGTCCTGTCACCAACCTTCCAGTCAGCCCTTCACCCTGGCCCACCCACAGTGTCCCACGTGTCAGGATAATGGGACATCCTGAAGGCTGAGAGTCTACCCCCATGGAAGGCATTGCAAGGGGAGCCGAGCCTTCATCCAGGGCTGCTCTCAGATCAAGTGGTCCGACAGTGCCCAGCACAGAATAAATGTGAGCCCCCATGATGATTAAGGCCATTGTTAGGGACTCAGCTGTGTCCCCCCACAAAAAAGACAAGTTGAATGCTTGATCCCTGACCCTGTGTTCTTTCTCCGAAAATGTTATTGGGTAAGTTCTTGAAAACATCAAACCAAACTCACTGCCATGTAGTCGATGCTGACTCTACAGGACAGAGCAGGAGTGCCCCTGTGGGTTTCTGAGACTGCAGCTCTTCCCGGGAGTAGAAAGCCTCGTCTTGCTCCTACGAAGCAGCTGGTGGTTTTGAACTGCTTACGTTGCATTTAGCAGCCCAACGCACAAACCAGCGCCCCTATCAGTTACACTGTTGTTAGGTGCCGTCCAGTCAGTTCCAGCGCATAGTAACGCTACGGACAACAGAAGGAAATGGCCCCCGTCCTGCCCCTTCCTCACAAGTCTCGGATAGTTGACAGCCCACCGCTGCAGGTGCTGTGGAGGGTCTTCCTCCTTTTTGTTGCCCTTCTACTTCACCAAACGTGAGGGGCTGGTCTCGCTCTCCTGACCACAGGTCCAAAGTACGTGCGAGGAAGTATCGCCGTCCTTGCTTCTCAGGAGCGTTCGGTTAAGTCAGAGGGGTCGTATCACAGTGGGCTGGGCACTCCCTCCTTACCCCACCACCCACTGCACGGTGGTGGCTGGCATGTTGCTGTGAGGGCGGAAGCCAGCCCCCCAAGATTTCAAATGCCGGCAGGGTCACCCAGAGTGGACAAGCTTCAGCAGAGCGTCCACACTAGGAAGAAAGGCCTGACGATCCACTTCCAGAAATCAGGCCAATGGAAAACAATAACCCACAACACAAGATGGTCCGATGTCAAGCCGGAAGATGAGCCCCTTGGTTGGAGGCCACTTGGGACACGCAGCACCCTAGAGCGGAGGTAGGTTGCAGGAGGGGACACAGGACCCAGCCACCCTTCATTCCGTTGGTTGTGGGAGTGGCCATGAACTGGAGTCCACGCCAGGGTGACTAACAACGCCCTTTATGAGTGGTGTCTTATAAAAAGAGAGGACAGACAGGCAGACGGTCACACTGGGGAGGGGGGTGGGACATCAGTGTCAGCAGCACAGCAATCCCACTGAGCGCAGGAAGCCACCAGGACCCCGCCAGGGGTGCCCCCAGCTCCTCTCTCAGAGCCCTGAAAGGACATGACCGGTGAGGCCCACACCCAGACTGGATGCCCAGTCTCAGACCGAGGGACAATACATGTCTGTTCTTCAGAGCCACCTGCTTTGCTCCCTCGGCCCAGAGAAAGGAAGATAGCACTCTTCACGATCCAAGAATGTACCACCACCAACTAGTAGCTGCTCTCCTGTTTGTGGTGCCTATAGTGGCGTCCTGGTTACGTGTTCTGCCACTAACTGAAAGGCCGGAGGGTGGACCCACCAGCTGCTCCCAGGGAGCAACATCCTGGCCTTTGGCTCCCACAGAGCTGACTGCCTGGGAAAGACGCTGTGGGAGCAGATCCAGGCCGCCACATGGTGCCCCTGTGAGTCAAAATCAACTCCACCGCACACAATGGCCTCCTCCTCCTCCACGTCTTCATCATCACCTTCATCGACACTGCCACAGCGGGGAGCCAACTCTGGGCAGTTCGTTAGTGGCCTGGAACCTCCGTCCCCATGTCGATGAGACGAGTTCTCCGATGCGGCCACCGTGGGCAGGCCAGCCCCTGACTGCTGCTGGGAGTAGCTCTCAGGCAAACAGTGGCAGAGGTAGCCAGGCACCCGGCGGACAGGGGGCCAAGCTCAATGGCCAGGGAGCAACCTAGCTGACCGCACACAGAGCTTTGGATGCTGAAATCCAATCCTTTTCACAGAAAACAAGCCCCACTCACCTCTGCCCGGGCATCAGAGAGGCTTTGAGACAGATTCTTGGGGAGTCCAGGGGACTGGGAAAGCCCTAGCCCCGTTAGCACACACAACCTCTCTCCTCAGAGGGCTGACTTTGTGCCGGGGACACTGTTGCTGCACCGCCCACAAAAAGCCCTTGGATCAGGCAGGAGAACTTTTTTTAACTTCCCTGGCATGAGCCCTGAGCTGTTCCCGGATGGGTGATATGCACACAGCATGTGTTTGTGTTGTCGGTTCGGAGTGAGCACGATGGGCCGTTCCCTGCACCAGCTCCTGCGCAGCTGGGGGTGAGTTCCTGATGCACACCCACCCAAGTCCTAACCATCCACCAGATGCCCCTGCCTTCCTGAGAAGCCCAGGACACAATGGAAGGAACAGTGGATGTTGGAACATGTTCTTGCTGGCCAAGGGTGTATCAAGGAGCCCTGGTGGTGTGACAGTTTAGTAAGTGCTCAGCTGCTAACAAAGGTCGGCTGTTCTAACCCACACACCTGCTCCCCGGGAGAAAGGCCTAGTGAACTGGATCCATCAACATTTTGACTTAGAAAACCCTATAAGGCAGTCCAACTCTGTCACACGGGTTGCTCTGAGTCCCCTTAAAGGCACTCAACAAGCGGGGTGTCTTCTGTGGACCTCCAAAGCCCCTCTCACACCTCTGCCCTCCTTTCCCCTCCCCCTGCTCTCATCTTGCACCCTCACACTGCCTCCTGCTCCTGAGAGCTGCCTCCCCAGCTGGGCTCGGCCTCCCACAACCTCTCACACAGTAGAACTCCAAGTGCATGCATGACCCACCCCCTCTCCGGGCAGCTCCCTGCCCCGCCTGCCATGCCGTCTGCCCTCCCCTGCTCTCCAATTTGTCCTCTTGTCCTAGATTTTGTCTGATTGGTTACTTAGGACACTACTTGTGGTACACTGTAGAATTTTCTGGGGGTCAGCCTCGCCACCACCAGAAAAAAGAAAAAGAAGACCCTCCACTAGATGGATTGACACGGGGGCTGCCACATCAAATCAAACACAGGAGGGAGCTTACATTTTAAACAAAACATGTGGCAAGGTACCAATCTTTACATGGGTCATGTTCAGCCCGCTGAGCGGCCATCCCTACTGCCCTTTGCCACATTACCAACCCCACCCCACCCCACCACTCACAGAGTCAAGGTGCCAGGGGACTAGGGTGCCTTTTTAAATTAATGCAATCTTTGGGTGCTAGATCTGGAGTAAGTCACCAAACACAAAACATTCAACCTCTGTGCCCCGGAAAGCCGGAAGCCAGACAGCCTGCCCTGGGCTCAAATTCCAGCTTTGTCAAGGTTGGCTGCAAACCCTTGGGCCAGGAATTGAACCTGGTTGTGCTTGTTTCCCAGCATCTGGAAACTACAGACAATAAACTGATGACTACTGCACCGCCCCCCTCCGCCCCCCGCCCCCACCATCATCCTTATCATATCATCACCACCACCCTTCCCCTAAAATGTTTATTTACTCTATGTGGTAGTCACCTAATCTGGTGTCAATTTAAGAATTAAGAGTGTAGGGGTGGAGTCTAGGCTGTCAATCTGGAGAGAGCCAATGAGATTTATGTGTGGGCATGGCCTTCTCCTGAAAATTCTGGGATCTCTGGTACTTCCTCCTTGGAGGCGGGAGACACCTCTCTCTGTCTCTGCTACTCCCTGGGAGGCATTGCAGAAGACAAGCCACATGGACGCAACCAGACATCGGAAGATGGAGAAGCCAGAGAGACCCTTGCCAGCGCTGAGATGCTTACAACGCCACTGGACCCAAAGACTTTCTACCCACTGGCTTGTGATTGTCCTGCATTTGGCTTCACTGCATGTGCTTCGTGAGTCTGAAGAGGACTTTATCGATTGGTATCAGACATTTAGGCTAATATCGGACTTATGGCCTTGGACTAGACTGGGTTGGGTTTGTTTTCTCAATGTTCAATTACTATTGCATATAAAACTCTCTCTTATATACATATGCTTATTTATGAATTTGTTTCTCTAGTCTACCCAGACTAATACACTCTACAACAGTGGTTCTCAACCAGTGGGTCGAGACCCTTTTGGGTGTTGAACGACCCTTTCACAAGGGTCACCCGATTCATAACAGTAGCAAAATTACAGTGATGAAGTAGCAAGGAAAATAATTTTCTGGTTGGGGGATCACCACAACATGACGAACTGTATAAAGGGTCACGGCATTAGGAAGGTAGAGAACCACTGCTCACAACATGCCAGGCGGGACCCTACCCACTTTGCAGGCATTCTTCCACCCAGACCACTCTACGGGGTGAGCTCCATTTTCCAGGTGTCCGGGTGTCAAGTAATGTAGTCAAGGTTACACCATTAAATAGAGGCTCAGGATTCCAACCCAGCCATCTGGCCCCTGAGCCCTCACCATTGGACTGAGTACTGTCCGGCTCAATGGCCAGCCAAAAGCAAGAGGTTCAACAACTCTCTGGCCAGGCTTAATTATTACAGATGCCATTGTCTGGAGTGGTAGCGATGAGAATTCTGCCTGTCTGAATAGTTTCTGTCCTGGGTGGGGGGTGGGGCGGGGAGGGTGCCTCGTGTCCAACCGTGCATGCCGGCCTGCTCCCCCCACCCATCGTGGCAGAGAGGGAGCCAGGCAGAGGGGACTGCCTGCCTGAAGCTTTATGGGTCAGGCTGCACAGTCTGGTCCAAAGAGGCCAGGGGGGAATCTCTATTCCAAGGTTGTTGGAAAATCTCTCTGTGGTGCGGCCAACTGCGGAATGACAGCCACCACCTGTCCCTCTTGACTAAGCACCAGAGGGGGCAGAGGGAGGGCCACAGAGCAGAGCAGTGGCCCCCAGGTCTGAAACCCACACGCCGGCCTCCAGACTCTGCAAGAGGTGTCCAGGCTGGGCAGGGGCTACTGTCCTCAGAGCGCTGCCCCCTGAAACTGCTCCTAGGCTGTGGCCGGCCATGCCCCGCACATACTCAGCCAGCATGAGCTTGAATTTTCACTTTACAGGAATGAGCCGTCTCACTCAGTTTAATTCAAAGTGTCTCTCGGTGGTGCCTGTGTGTGCATGTCTGCACGTGGAGGCGGGATGCACAGGGCCAGGGGGAGCTGGCCTGTGCCACAGTCTAGTCTCTAGGAGCCCCACTGGGGTGGGGTGCAGTGAGCCAAGTCACCCTGGTGGCAAGGAGTGGCCTTTGGGCACCAACCATGAGCTGGTCCCAGCAGTGAGCTGAGTTCCAATCCACAGAGTCACGGCTCCTCACCCAGAACGTCCCCGCTCAGGAATTTTAGACAAAATCTCCTAGGAGACCCACACTACTCACTGTGGAGCATCAGGACTCTGGGTCTGAATTATTGTCTATTCCTCAGGCCTGGATGCTGGGGCAAGCTGCAAAAATCCCTGTGGGTCCTAGTTTCCTCAACTGTGCAATGGACACAGGCCTCAGTTTCCCCATTTGTGCAACAGACAGAGGAACCATACACAAACTCCAGCCCTGGAGACACACTGGGACAAAGTAACCATCAGGATGGGCTCAAAAGCATGGGCACTCAAAGGTATGGGGTCAGATGTCGTGAGAGCAGTTACCTTTAGGAGGGTGGGACCAGTAGGCGTGGGGAGGGGAGGAATACGTGGCTGGGGAACCAAACCAAACTTGAGCCCACTGCCAGCCAGCCATTTCCCGCTCATCGAGACCCTACATGGTCCCTGAGACCAGACATCTTTATAAGGGCAAATAGCCTCTACCTTCCTCCAGCAGAGCTGTCTTCTAAGCTTGAGCCGCCAACCTTGCAGTTAGCAGTCCGGTGCTTACCCGGCAGTGCCACTAGGGCACTGGGGCTGTCCTGTCTCTTGATCTGGGAGCTGGTGACACAGGTCTGTTTGCTTAGGCTGCACTCACTGTGGACCTTTACACTTAGACTTTTTCTGTACAGTGAACCCTTGCCACTTCGCGCTTCGACTTCCGCGGCTTCACTCTATCGCGGTTTTTGCGTAACAGCGCATGCTCTGTCATTACTGCCACTGATTGGCTCATACTGTACATGCTTCTGTCTGCATCGCTACGTATCAGAGCTACATTATCAGATGCATTTTTGCTTTTGTACAGTGTACTGTAATTGTTTGAGATTTTTAAGAAATTTTATCTAAGCCCTATGATGGCTCCTAAACGAGCTTCTTCTAAGCCTTCTGACAATAAAAATAAGCGCCAGAGGAAGATGCTCACCATCCAGGAAAAGGTAAAACTTTTGGATATAAGGAAACCTACTTCGTGCAATTTCATTTATCACGGTAGGGTCTAGAACCGATTAACCGCGATAAACGAGGGTTCACTGTACTTTGTTTCAACAAAATAAAATGAAAAGTTTGTTAGAAAAAAACAGAGGTGGAAGGGAGGGAGATGTTGGCAGGGGACAGCCACACTGACCTCAGGGATGGGCCTGGGCCCCAAGGGAGACATGCTTCTTGTCTCTCCAGGAGAGCTCTGGTCTTGGCTCCAAACACCAAGCCTGCTGCCCTCAAGTCCACTCTGACTCCGGGCAACCACTGGGCTGCGGAACAGAACTGTGCCCTGTGCGGTGATTGCAGCTGGGATTTTTACAGGGGCAGATCACCACTGGGGGCGGGGGGCGGCAGTGATCTGAATCACCAGCCTTTAAGCTAGTCCAATGCCTCATCCCAGGGCTGTCTGTGTAAAGGCCATACCTCCAGGTACAGGCCTGCTGCACAATCCCCATCACAGGACCACCGCAGGAGGACTCTAGGAGATCATCTGCCCAGCGAATCCAGCTCTCCCTCCCTGATTAACACACATCCGTTACAGGAAGCATTAGCGTTCTTGGGACAAAGAGAGAGTGTCTGCATCCCCTGAGCTTTCCTTACAGCCTTTTCTTTAGCAATGTTGTCCCTGGAAATTCTGCCTCTGGCCCTTTGAGATGTCTGTAAATCTTTTAAAAACTTAAATCAATGTTTTGCCAGTTTTACACCCAGAGCTCTGCGAGCCACCTCTGTAGACACAACCATCAAGGCCATTGCCCAGGGCGGTGGACAGGTGGTTTTATGTCAACCT